TGGGTCCTCATTTCACCTACCTTAGAAAGGATGGAAGGCTGAGTCAACCTTGAGCCTTGGCGAGATTCGAACCCTGCAGTAATTGCAGGCAGCTGGTCTTAAGCAGCTTAATAACAGGGTGCCTTAAACCCTAGTACTACCAAGGCTCTTGAAAAAGCACCTTTGGGACATCCATGACCTGGATGACTAAGAATCTCCGTAGACGTCTTCCCAAAGTAATCTACCCTTGGAAATTTGATGATGGCTCTGCACTAAAACAGCTAGGAGTAAGGAATGGAGTAAGGATGAAAGTGAGGTCTGAGAATTGTTTTTTAAGGGTGACTAGGCATTTAAAGGTGCTTCAAAGGCATTTAACAAGTTGAGGTTATTTAGAATTTTTAAAAAACAATTTATTTTGCTACATTAGATAAAGTAACATGCATATTCACATTTTTAAAAGGGAAGTTTCTTGGGCAATATGTAATTGGAAATAAAATTTTCACTTTCTCATGCAACAGTTCCCAATTCTTGTTTGTTCCCAATTCTTGTTTGTTTTCAGCATGTAATAGCCTTCTGCTCATCTAAAATACCCCTATCTATAAGCAAATTTTGATTTTATTAATCTGATTGATAATGCTGTTGTATTATTTCCAATAATAACATGAAATTGTACAATGTATCTAAAGTCTAATATGATTGAGGTACAAAGTTTAGTCGAACATATTTGCAGAATAACATTTCTCCCCATTTCTGTGCAACTGTACTTAGCTACAATAAGTGCACTGTATATTAAAAAAATATCTTTTTGGAATTTTGACTGTATGATTTTCAAATACTTAAAGTAAAACTCAAAGTGACATCATTAAGATTTCCCCAGAAATAGTTGGTGGAAATTCCTCCTACTTACTGATGTTTTCATATTGCTTTATTTTTTCATACAGCTGGAGAAATATTTAAATAACTTGTTACTAAAACATAGGGGAACGTTAAAACTGTACGCGTATTTACAAAAAAGCAAGGCTTCTTATAAATAGTGTAGAATATTAAAGCATTAATACAAAAATAAAGTTGAAAAAAGGAATGAAATTTTTTCTTGAATCGTTTGCAACATGAGCATGCTAACTAATACAAACCAAATTACTCCTTGCCCTTTGGGGTTGTAGTCTAAATTCACTTTGGGGGCATTTATTTGTATTTTATACTGCTCTAAAAAATATTATTTAACAGAGCTGAAAGTAGAGTTCGATTTAATCAGTGGAACAAACCAATTGACATATTCTCTATTTATGAGCTGCACCATCTGGCCTTTCTCCCTGCCCTTGTCAAGATCCAATTGACTATTTCCTTAAATTATAACCTTCTGGTTGCTGGGCCTGTTTAGCAGTACTAAATAACTATGAAGTAAATATGCTGGGTTCTGTCATTCATACTATTTATGACAGGAGTTCACTGGGCCTCTAGCGCAGGAGACAGTTCTTCCAGGTTTATTTGCCTTAAATATTGCATATTAATTAAGGGAATCTAAGCTATATTGAGAGACAGCTGCCACATTTGCTCTTTACTATATTACTTTTCATAATTAAATGCCAATTAAAACAATGGAAAACCTTTTTTCTGGTTGTATTTTTAAATTTTATTGGTGGTCTGGGTAGTAACAGCTTACCCTCTTATTTAATTGAAAAGAAACTGAGAAGCCAAAAGCCATATATGTTTACCTTGGAGCAGTAAGCGCTATTATCTGAAGATGAAAGAGTGTCATCAGTCCTCTGCCTATGACTGGTGCATAAGTTGATCATCATTTTGCTTGTCCTCTGCAGAGGTGAGAGCCAATTAAGATAGTCCAAACCTGGTGCCTAATGGATCCAGATGATTTCCTGAGGGCACTTGCGGGCATTCACATAAATAGTCCCACTGCATATCTGGTTGCACTCAGGAGTTCAGAGGTGACTAGGGCATTAGATGAAATTGCCCCCAAGCAGCTTCTCCTGAATCTCAAATGCTGAGGTTATCTGAATTTTCTAAAAGAATTCAGGAAATGAAACTGATGGTGGTGAAAAGCAAAGAATGAATGGAACTGAACACAGTGGGTGCATCCATGTTCAGGAGAATTCTGTGGCAGTAAAATTGATAAAATATTCTCCACTGGGAGAACACACTTGTTAAGATTATCTGGAGCAGTGGTGAAATCCAATTTTTTTTACTACCGGTTCTGTGGGCGTGGCTTGGTGGGTGTGTTGTGGCTTGGTGGGCATGGCTTGGTGGGTGTGGCAGGGGAAGGATACTGCAAAATCTCCATTCCCACCCCATTCCAGGGGAAGGATACTGCAAAATCTCCATTCCCTTCCCACTCCTGGGGGAGGGATATTACAAAATCCCCATTCCCACCCCACTCTGAGGCCATCCAGAGGTGGTATTTGCCAGTTCTCTAAACTGCTCAAAATTTCCGCTGCTGGTTCTCCAGAACCTGTCAGAACCTGCTGGATTTAACCCCTGATCTGGAGTCATTTGCATATAGAGAAGCCCAATGTATCATTTTTGCAAGATGTTAAGAACAGAATCAGACGATCTGTTTTCCCTTGCAAACTCTATTCATCAGGGTGTGATTTCGAGCATGCTAAATTGATTCCTCTCAGGTGGTAATAGAAAAATATAAAGAGCTGGGTTGGATAAGACCAAAAATTATCTAGTCCACTATTGTATTTCCACATCATGCAGTGCCAAAGGATATTCCCCAACAGCCTCTAGAAAGCTTATGTAGCTATTACAATGATTAGTTGCACTATATAGCTATTGCGATTATTACTTGATGATGATGATAATAATAACTTCATCCTCCATAAACTTGTTTAATCCCTTTATAAAGATTTCCAAGTTGATAATTATCATTACAACATAAAGTTGTGGATTCTATCAGTTCTATTCTATAACCTGAGTACTGGGATAGGGTGGATGGCTGGAAGGGGAAAGATCTACTGTTTCTGAATTGTCGCTCTCTTTTGTTATTGGATCACTCAAAGTTCTGGTATCTTTCAGTAGGCGGTGCAGAATAACTACCAACATCATTTAATGCAGATCCAATCTAGAAAAATCTCTAAAAGGAAAGTTTCCATTTTTATTGTGAACTTAATTTTCTACCATTCTAAAATTATACTGTGCTTATAGCAACAGTAAGTGGGGTTTTTTTTTAAAAAAAAATGCATGCTTTTCCCTTGTTTTTGTTTGATGTGATATCCATTTTGAAGAAGCATCCCACAGTTTTATTATCCTATTGTTTTGATTTTTAAAATAAGCAATTGTAAGTATTTTATAGTCCTCCTCCCCCAACTATCTTTGCTTTCTTAGCTTTTTTCATTATAAACCATGAATTGTCTCCAGGAAATTTTACAAGCTCATACTTGTTGAATAAATAACTGAATGGCATCATTGTTCTTGCCTCACAGTAGAACAACTGCAGTTGCTGATGAGTTCTACCTTAGTGATGCTTTGTTCAGTTTCTTTTATAATCATTGGCATCTTCCTTCATCAGTTGCTCCAGGCAGAGGTTGTACAATGGGTTTTTTTTCCCCCTTTTGTTCATACTTCCAGACTTCAGTTTTTGAACCAAACTGCAAGAAAAGCCTTGGTTTGGTTGTGGTTCTTTAGTTTCATTTAGACTCTTTTTTTTTTACTTTCTGATTGTTTGATTTGTGTTTGCCTTCAACATGTGTGTGTGCGTGTGCATGCATTTGTGCATGTAGACATTTTCAGCACTCGTGTACATTTTGACTCTATCAATCTTGCACTGGTTTCCATGATTGCTGGGATCAATGTTCCTGTTTTATAACACCCACCAACTGTTCCTCATGTCAGACCTGCCCCAGTCAGGTCTCTTAGGAAAGAAAAACCCTCGACTCCATTTTGATAAAATGTTAGGTTCTTTTACTAAAGGCTGCTGGCTGCAGTAAAGTCAGGCTAGAACTAAATTTCCCACGCAAAAAGTTACACATTTTCCCCCTCATCCCAGCCCTTCCCCCATGACTAGTTCATCTTCAGTCAATGAAGAGCCACATAGGTGTTTGGAGAATGCTGAGATGCTTGGGATAGTCCCTATTCCAATCTCAGAAGCACGGCCTTGTATGCTGGCACAAACAGATTCTGTGCTTTCCTAGTCTTTGTCAAGCTGTCATTCCTCGCTTCCTATTTCCCATCACATCCCCATACATGTTCATTGACCATTTGTTCTCCTCCCCCCTTTGCCCTCTTTGCCCTCTCCCTCCTAGCCTTTGATGGCAGGATGCCAGTGGGGTGGCAAGCCAAAGATGGCAGTCCTGACACCTCTCTACTTAGAATTAGTAGATCAGACAGAGGTAAGCAAATAGGAAACCACAACTCTCTATATCTCAAACCAGGGGTGAAGTACAGCAGGTTTTGACAGGTTCTGGAGAACCAGTAGTGGAAATTTTGAGTAGTTCGGAGAACCGGCATATACCACCTCTGGGCTGGTCCCAGAATGGGGTGGGAATGGAGATTTTTCAATATCCTTCCCTTGGAGTGGGGTGGGAATGAAGATTTTGCAGTATCCTTCCCCTGGAGTGTGGTGGGAATAGAGATTTTGCAGTATCCTACCCCTGCCACGCCCACCAAGCCACACCACGCCCACCAAGCCACGCCCACAGAACCGGTAGTAAAAAAAATTGAATTTCACCACTGTCTCAAACTATGTGATTGAACAAAAAGCACTCTATTCTAGAAGAGTGCTTATTCTGCTCTGATATTGCTTCTAGAAAGTTGCTGCTTGAGAAAGGAACATATCCTGCTTACTACTTTTTTTGATTGGCTACAGAAAACCTCACAAGATCTGAACCACAGGTACACAAATATAAGGAAGTTCACTTTCAAGCATGATCTTCCTCACTATCCTATGTTTCCACCTTGTTGACAATACCAACTAATTTTAAATATAAAGGTATGTGGGAGGAATATGTTTTTTGCTATTCCATTATTTCTTTTTTTTTTGCTTTTTTTTTTTTTTGCTTTTCCAGAAATGGCAGTGTGTGGAAGATGCCAACGGGAAGTTGAAGTTGCATAAATGCAAAGGCCTAGCTAGCCTTATGGCTCCAGACAGTAATAAAGGAATCTCCAATCTCCTGCCCAAGTATTACAGCAAGAATAACGAGGACTGCAGCTGTGATGAGAATGAATACAAGCTGAGTCCCATTGGACGACGAAAGAAATTATTCTCTAAGAAAAGTAAGTGAAATTCTTGGGGGTTTCTGTGATGGCGGGAAAAATTCCAAAATAACTAAGCTATTTAAATCTATATATTTAAGAAATTAAGCAAAGTTTGTACTAAAAAAAAAATCTCAAAGCAGCTTAAAAACGTTCCAACAATACAAAATAACTAAAACTTTGGAGAGCAATGAATAAACTATAATTCATCTTTCAAGAGTGTAGCAAATAACCCATCCACCAATCAAAAAGAAGTTTGCACAGTTATGAAAGGCTGTTAGCAATGCATTGACCATATATTCCAAAGCCCTCACCAGACACACCTTGACAGAGGAGAAAATAGCTCACAGATTTCAATGAATGAGCAGTCTCATATAGAAAAACTAGGTCTGCTTAGAATGATGTAGAGATCAATAACTTTGAATCATTGGACAACATCCAATGTTGCACATTTGAATGTTGACTTTTGCAGTGGATCTTCCCTGCCCTTTCTTTCTCCTCTTGCTCTCTAGAGCAGCGGTCTCCAACCTTCCTGGCTTTGCGGACCGGCGGGAGGGGGTGGGCACACATAGCTTCATTTGCACTAGCAGAAGGTGCATGCGCGCACCTGCCCCTCACACAAATGGAGCTGTATGTGCACTCCCATTCCATGTGCAAGTCAAGCTGTGTGCACTCTTGCTCATCACTTCTGCAGCCCGGTTCTGAGCAGGTCACGGCCCCGGGGGTTGGGGACCCCTGCTCTAGAGAACCTTCAAAATTCAACAGAAGACTTCATAGGGTGCTAAAAGAAGAATCTCTACTGATCTCATTTCAGAAGCCAGTCACAATTGGATTCAACCCAAAGTGTCTGTTGTAGATCTAGATAAAAGTAACATCTCATTAAAGCTGAATTTGCCTCCTAATGGCTACATAAACAATGTAAAAGTGGTCTGTCATTGCTCTCTCTTCCTGAAGGCACTTTTGGCTTCCAATCCCAATACACTAGGATTTCCTGATTGTCTCCAGTCTGGGTGTTAATCAGGTCTGACACTATTTAGATTTTTTTTCAAGATCAGATAAAATCTGCTCAGTGCTGCCATGTGATTGTGACTGTTAGTTAGATATTATGTACATGTTTGAAATATTTTAACCACAAGAATCTTAATAAAAACATTTCTGCATAAAAGCATGATGCAGTTTTTATGTAAAAATGCAAAAACAAATAGGATGATACATGGGATGTTTCCAACATTTTTATTTATTATTTATTTATTATTTATTTATTAATCAAATTTCTATACCGCCCTACTCCCGAAGGACTCAGGGCGGTGAACAGCCAAGATAAAATACAGATAATACAAATATTAAAAAATCCCTTAAAATTATTAAATATTTCGGCCGAAACACAGATTAAAACACCCAATTTATAAAATCACGAATTAAAAAATTTAAAAATTTAAAAGATGGGAGTTAGGCCAGGCCAGCTTGCTGAAATAGAAAAGTTTTGAGAGCACGGCGAAACGTGCGCAGGTCCGGGATCTTCCGTATCTCTGGGGGGAGCTCGTTCCAGATGGTAGGTGCCCCCACAGAGAAGGCTCTCCCCCTGGGGGCCGCCAGTCGACACTGTTTGGCCGACGGCACCCTGAGGAGCCCCTCTCTATGGGAGCGTACTGGTCGGTGAGAGGCTATTGGTAGCAGAAGGCGGTCTCGTAGATACCCCGGTCCGATGCCATGGAGCGCTCTAAAGGTGGTAACCAAAACCTTGAAGCGCACCCGGAAGACCACCGGGAGCCAGTGCAGCTCGCGCAGGAGGGGGGTCACATGGGAGCGCCACGTCGCTCCCATAACCACCTGCGCGGCCGCATTCTGGACCAGCTGGAGCCTCCGGGTGCTCCTCAAGGGGAGCCCCATGTAGAGAGCATTGCAGTAGTCCAAGCGGGAAGTAACGAGAGCATGAGTGACCGTATTTAATGAGTCCCGATCCAGAAAGGGACGCAACTGGCGAATCAGGTGGACCTGATAAAAAGTCCCCCTGGCCACGGCCGTCATGTGCTCTTCTAAAGACAGCCGTGAGTCCAGGAGGACACCCAAGTTGCGAACCCTCTCCGTGGGGGCCAGTGACTCGCCCCCAATAGTCAGTGATGGCACCAACTGACTATATCGGGATGTCGGAAACCACAGCCACTCGGTCTTGGATGGGTTGAGCCTGAGTCTGTTTCTCCCCATCCAGATCCGCACGGCCTCCAGGCACCGGGACATCACTTCAAGGGCATCATTGGGGTGGTCCGGGGTGGAGATGTACAGCTGAGTATCATCAGCGTACTGGTGGTACTTCACCCCGAAACCACGGATGATCTCACCCAGCGGCTTCACATAAATGTTGAACAGAAGGGGCGAGAGGACCGACCCTTGTGGCACCCCACATACAAGGGGCCTCGGGGTCGACCTCTGCCCCCCTGTCAACACAGACTGCGACCGGTCAGAGAGAAAGGAGGAGAACCACCGTAGGACGGTGCCCCCCACCCCTAACTCCTCTAGCCGGTGCAGCATGATACCATGGTCGATGGTATCAAAAGCTGCTCAGAGGTCTAATAGGACCAGGACAGAGGAACAACCCCTGTCCCGAGCCCTCCAGAGATCATCAACCAACGCGACCAATGCCGTTTCCGTGCTGTACCCAGGCCTGAAGCCCGACTGGAACGGATCCAGATACGACGATTCATCCAGGTACTGGGGGAGCTGTCGCGCTACCACACTCTCAACAACCTTCGCAACGAAGCGAAGGTTGGAGACTGGACGATAATTTGCCAACACTGCCGGGTCCAGGGAAGGTTTCTTGAGGAGAGTGAAGGAATTTAGTGAAGGAATCCAGAACTAATTAGAAGTAGATAAATGAGGACACACTTTACTATCAGCTTTGCTTGTTTCTTAGGAATAAGGAGAAATTTACTTTATGTTTAAACATAGACTTCCAATTTGACAAATTCAAATTAACTGAATAATAACTAATGCTAAAATTAATTCTCTGTAAAATATCATATTCCATTTAAAAATTAATTGATCCCCTGTCTGCATAAACCAACTATTCTCTCTTTCACAGTAGGCATAAATATGCTTTCTCATCCCCCCAGCACAATCACAAAAAATGAGGGGAGGAAATCAAATGGAGAGGAAAGCTCCATTGCAATAGAAACAGAAAGGAAAAGAAAAAGAAAAAAATAAATGTTTATGGATTATAAAACAATTAAATTCACTAAGCAAGTAGCCCTACCCAGTCAACATTTACCTTCAAGCTAAATGGGGGTGTCAGGCCTGGAAGCCATCTTTTGCATTAGGCCTTCAGACCTGCCACGTTTACTACTGTGGGAAACTGGGAGGGGGGATTGTTTGGAGATTTGGGTTGATGTCAGGGTTCTAAGTAACACCCCCAACAAAATAAACCTCCGAGGCTTGAGTTTCCTCAAAGTTACTTAGCCCCAGTCCTCAGCCTTCTGATCGACAAGCCCGATGTGTTAATAGTTCAGCCACCATAGTTAAGAGTTATGTGTAGTAGTCAATTTTCAGTTACAGATTGTTGGACCGTAAGTTGCCCACATCTCCTCTAGTCCTCCCACTCTCAGTATCTGGTAATCTAATAGAAATCTATAGGTCAGGGTTGAACTGTGGAGTTCTTGGAGCTTTCTGAGCTTGATTGTTTACTTGCAAACTTTTCATTACCAAGCTAAGTAACGTCATCGGTGAGTATGGAGTTTGCTCCCTTTTTATATATAGTAACTTGTCTGGCCAAGCTAGTCCAGCATTTATCAAGAGTGCTTAAATAAGCACCAACTAAATGGGTGATTATTTAAGCACCCTGATAAATGCTGGATTAATAGCTATTTATATGTACCTATACATCTCAAAAGTAGTCAGTGGCAATATCCATTATTCCTTTTTAGAAATTACAATAGTCCTGGTTCTGTACTTGACTAGTTCTCAGGGTATTGGAGCATTATTTATTCATAATAAGAGCACAGGTAGATGCTGCTCCCAAAGCTGTTGCTCCCATATAACGTTTTCTTTTCACATTAAAATGGAGCTGGCTCCAAAAACTGCTGATTTTCTTTGGCAAGGCTCAGGCGCTTTGTGGCATAACCTATTCTACAGGCCCTTCTTTAACTTGAGTCAGCTGAAAATCCACACACAAACGCACAGACATGCATTTGAAGTGTGCATAGTTTAATTATAGATTAAAAGAGCCCAACAGCAGCTCAGAATTATTATTCGTCTGTAAAGTTGCTTTCGTCTCGCTTCACAAGTGCAGAGCTTTAATTATTTAGCAGATTAGACTTTCTCAGTAATGACCTGGCACAAGCTTCAAACAGGGAGTTTAAATCGATTTTCTTCCTTTATATTTGCCTTGCAAGCTGATTAGTAACTACTAAGCTAATTTTTAGATGAATAAAATTACTGGTTTTCAGGTACAATCGCCAGTTACTGTAACTGCCGAGAATGCATGGCAAAACAGATAATCTTTAAATAATGCTTAAGCTTGTGGTTCAGTTAAATTGTTTACAAATTGTAACCCCAAATATAACTCATTTCAGAATTTTAGCATAACATGATACAGAAACAATGAAATTGCTGCATTACGCTGAAGATATTTGAACTCCACTTATGAAATTTAAACCAGATAAAGAACTCCTCAAAAATTTTATTAGCAACTTTTCAAATCCCTATGGCATCCCAATTAGGCTGTGTAATTATGTCTCTTAGTCTTCAGTATCAGAAACCTGAGGGCCTTTCCAAATAATCATCTGTTCACATAATAAATGCACAGTAGTTAGTTCATTTGTTGTACACGATCCAGATGTTTTTCTTCAAGGTAGTTAATATTTTGTCTGGGACAGAACAGTTTTCCAATACATAAATGTCATGTTTTGGTGCTAAAGGGGAGATTTTCTCCCTTCTCCCTTCATTATTTCTCTCACAAGCAAATAAAACTAAGAGGAGGAAGAGTGGATATTATCCACTCTGCTCTTCATGAGGAAACTGGAGAGATT